CAGTTGTACAGCAGTTCAGCCAAGCAGCTCTGGCCAGAGAAGTCCTCAGGGCTCCAGCCTTCTTCTGATCTCATCAACAAGCTTTTCTCTTGGGATATCAACCTACAAAGCAAAGAGATGGGGAGGTGGCAGCATTAGAACAGAGCACAGTTCTAAGGACCAAAGGCTTGCTTTGGATACAAACACAGCTTGTGGCTGCTTTTCTGGAGACACCCAACAGACCTGGGCTACGGCTTCCCAAAGGAACACGTCACACAGAGCCTTTCAGTGATCTCCAGAGTTGGGAAGCACTTCTGACACTTGGTTAAAAGGACATTCTCACCTCCTGTCGTGTTGAGACATCTCGCAGCTTGACAACTCCGTCTGCCAGCTCCTGCTCTCCTACAATGGCAGCGAGGGGGATCCCTGTGTCCTCACAGTACTGCAGCTGCTTCAGCAGTTTAGGATCCTTCTTGTACAGCATCTCTGCCTAGCAGGGAGTGGGAAGGACGAATCACTAACCCAGATTTGCTTTAATGGATACCGGAGCAAAGCAGCCAGCACCAAACCCTGCAGCAAGGGGTTGCCTTTAGTGATCTGGGCTGTTCTTCTGTGCCTGCCTAGACCTAAAGGTTGGACTTTGTGATCTTTGATGTATTTTCCAACCTGAATGGCTCTGTGATCTCAGACAGGTCCAGATCTTGAAGAGAACACAACTAATGGAGCTGGTCCTGCTGTGCTACACAGCTCCTTCAGGCTCTCCCTCCCTCACCCCTGACACCACCAAGCCCAAGTCATTCCTTTACCTTGATCCCTGCATCCCACAGTTCGGAGATGAGCTTCAGTCTGGCAGCAAGCAAATGTTTCTGGGGTGTAGCCACCAGCACTTGGGTCTCAGTTGTGCGAAGTTTCTCCCCAGAAGCCTAGAGGGACATACACACCCGTGGGAGTGACCGGCTCTGAGGGAATCTGCAGCTCACAGCACCTCATCTCCAGACCCTAACTCAGTGACTGACAACCTGGGCACCTTTAATGAGCCCCCCAGAGACTCTGCATTGTGTCACAGCAGTTGAGCATGTTCTGCTGCTCCCATGGGACCTTGGCCTCCCTCCCAGATGGGACCTGGACAGCTTTCCAAGGTCTTCTTTGAATCTCCAGATACAAACACATTGCCTCGGCCTCCTCTGCCATGAATCACAAGCTCAGAACTAAACACAAAGTGATGAATCTTCTCAGGGGCTGTCCTCTTTTCAGAGTGAGTGTCACAAATAATACCAAATTCATCGTTTCCCAATCCCAAGGACAGGAAACTTCACAGGCAAGAGAGGAGTAAAGTGACTGGGGCACAAAGCTCAGAGCCAGGCCCAGAGCTCAGGGCTGCCTCTAACACTTCCTTGACATCTCCTAGGGAATGCTGCCCTCAGCTGCCCACACCTGCATCCTGACAGGCTGCAGAAAAGGGCTCTGTCTTCTTCTGTGCATGGACACTCAGGCATGAAAGGAGCCACCCTCACCCCCAAAATTATTTTCCCTTGAGTACTGTGGAGCTGTAGAGCTCTAATAAATGATAGCTGGTTTCCTAGAGCCTCCTCCAACACACTGCCTGCAGCACCTACCTTCAGCCTCTGCTCCAGGATGGAGAAGATCCGCTCGATCCCAATGCTGACCCCCACGCAGGGCACCTTCCGGCCCTTGGGATCAAACATCCCCACCAGCCCGTCGTAGCGGCCGCCTCCAGCCACGCTCCCCACGCCCACCAGCTCCTCCACGTGCTCGTTCTCCTGCTGCAGCAGCACGGCCTCGAAGATCACCCCCGTGTAATAGTCCAGGCCCCGGGCCAGGCTCAGGTCGAAGGAGATCTGCAGGGAGGGCACCAGGGCGGCCCCGTCACCAGGCGCTCGGGGGGACACCAGGACAGCACTCCCCCTGCCCTCACCCCTCCTCACCTTCCCTGTGATGCCAAACAGGGTCAGGTACTCAAACAGCAGCTTCATGTCCCCCAGCCCCTCCTTGGCCAGCTTGTTCTGCGACAGCTTCGGGTCCTGCAGGAGCCGCTCGATCAGGTCCAGCCCACCTGTAGGAACCAGACGTGCTACGGTGGCCCCGGCCAGCCCTGGGTGTGCCCTGGGCACCCTCCAGCCCCAGAACAAGCCCAGGGGCTCCACCCCACAGTGCTCACCGTGGAGCTGGACGTACTCCCCGATGCGATCTGCAGCCTCGGGAGAGAGTCCCTTCTCTCCCACCATCTCGCTCCTCACTTCCTCCCACGGCACCTGTGGGGGCACAGAAGGGCATCTGTTACTGCAGGACATTCTCCTCACCCACTGCCTCCACCAGCCCACATAAGCACAACTCTGCTCACTGTCATCCTGCACATCTTGCTAATCATCTCTCTCTCTCAGGAATTTTTAACAAACCACTGGAATCACCAAGTTTTATTCCAGGAGATCCCCGAATCCTTTACCCACACCAACAACTTTGCTGCTGTGACCCTCTTTATGTCAAGAGGGGCCAATGAACTGCCCAGCTCAGAACCAGAAGCATCTCCCCACGAGCCCAACGCTGACCTTGTCCAGCTTGTCCACGGTGGAACAGGCCGTTATGAACTTGCTCTCTGGCACGCCACAGACGGCAAACACACCATTCAAAATCCGCCTGTCGTTGACCTGGGGGAGGGAGAGGCACACACAGCTCAGGGACATCCCTGCCAATGTCATTTCTTTGGTCCTAGTGTATGGCAACCTGCAGCCATTGGCATTTCTTCGTGCCTTTCCCATGGGAGGGGAAGGTGCAGAGGTATGAAAACCATCCCATGACTCTGTGGTTCTAGTTGGCTGCTGGAATTTGGCAGGGGGATGGGGTTAGTCCTGGAGAGAACTCTGCCAGCTGCAGACTCAGGAAACCTCCTGGCATTCCCAGCCCAAGCTCAGGTCCAGCCTTTAGTGTGAGGAGGCAGAGATGGGATCAACTCATGGATCAGGCTTGAGGGTGGGAATAGGCACTGCTGTGTAAAACCCCAGGAACAACAAGCACTGTGCCTCCACCGTGGCACAGGGAACCCCCCTGGCATCACCTTGATGACAAAGTCCCCGAGCTGCAGGTCACTCAGGATCTCGTGCACGATCTTCAGGCACTCGGCGTCAGGAATCATCGGGTCGAACTGCCCGGCGATGTCAAAGTCCTGGGGGCAGAAGCAGCAACAGAGGCTCCTGGCACAGCTGAGGGGCTCTGGCCGGGCACACCACGCTGCTCTGCAGCGGCTGGAGGTGCTCCAGCCCCGAAAACCCTCCTGCCACCCCAACACTCACGCACTGGTAGAACTCGCGGTAGCGGCCCCGGGTGGTGGCCGGGTTGTCCCTCCTGTACACCTTGGCCACGTGGTAGCGCTTCATGTTGTTGACCTTGTTCATGGCCAGGTAGCGAGCGAAGGGCACCTGGGCCCAGGGAGTTAAGGACAGCAAAGCTGAACCTCACAGCACCCCCCGTCTCCCTTTGCTGGCTGCTCCTCAGTTTTTTTCACAATGGTGGTGGTGGGATTTTTGGGGTGTCCTGTGCAGGGCCAGGAGTTGGACTTTGATGTTCTCTGTAGGTCCCTTCCAACTCAGGATATTCTATGATTTTCAGGGAAATCATCAGCCGGGGCTGTGGATGGGTAGAATGAAGCAGCTGAGCTCCTCCAACACTGGGACAGCTCCATTCCCTCCTCCTGACCTGCTCAGGACAACACTGACCCTCTGTTGTCATTCCACCCTCTCACAGTGTGATCAGAGGGAATTCAATGCACAGCCAAACATTGAACAGGAGAGATTCTGGGTGAGATGTGCAGGTGGAGAAGGCCTGGGATGGGCTCCTGCAGCAAACACCTCTGCAGACAGCACTGGGAAGGTGGGATAGGCAGGGCAGGGGTGGGGACTGTAACTGGCAGGAGATAAAACCAGTACAGAGGAGCAAACTGGTGCAGGTCTGCAGCCCACGGGAGGGGCTCTGCTGTGGGTCCTGGCCTGGCTGGGGGGTGGTGTGAGGTGGGGTCATGACAGTGACAGCCAGGCTGGGTGGACAAAGGGGTCCAACACACCAGTGGGTCCTGCAGACAGGGCAGAGAGCAAAGGGGACCCCACAAGGTGGGGTGCCACCGTCCCCTGAGGGGCTCAGGATACGGTGAGGTCGTAGCGCAGGGCCAGCAGCTCCCCTCCCTGGTCCTGCAGCTCGTAGATGAGCTTCGTGTCCTCCCCGTACTTCCCCATCAGCGTCTCCTGGGGAGGGACGAGGGGGCTGGTGACCAGGTGGCTCTGGGGCACAGGGTCCCCCCAGATGGGCATTACATCCCCCCTCGGACCTGGGTCCGCCTCCCTGTCCCCCCACAAGTCCCAAGAGGGACTGTCAGCCCTGCCCTCCCCACACGAGGGGATCCCCCAGACCCGCCCTGAATCCCCGGGGGAAGACGGAGCTCCCCAGTCCCGCAGGAGGGAGCGGGAGGGGGTGTCCCACAGCCCCCGTGGGTGTCCCACAGCCCCCGTGGGTGTCCCACAGCCCCCGTGGGTGTCCCGCCCCGCACGCAGGGGGTCCCCCCGCGCCTCACCCGCAGCTCCAGCACGGGGGTGTCGATGGCGGCCGCCCCGTGCCGCTTGAAGCAGGACACCACGGTGCGCAGCAGCCGCTCCCGCAGCGCCGCCTGCGCCGGGGGGTGGTCGCGGGTGCCCTGCCCGGGACACGGAGAGAACAAGCCGTGAGCGGCGGGGCCGTGCGGGAACGCTCGGTGCCCACCGGCGCCGCCCGCAATCCCCGCCTTTACCTTGGGCGTCTTCAGCACCGGCACCACCCTCCCGCCGCCGCCGCCGCCGCCGCTGCAGCCCCGGGACAGAGCCGGCGGCCAGGAGCGGGGGATGCTCTCCCGGTTCCCAGCGAGGCGGGGCCGCGGCGGGGCCCGGCGGGCTAAAGCGGCGATGGGGCCGATCCGCAGCATGGCCGGCACCGGCACCGGCACCGGGGCACGTGACACCGGCGGCACCGGGAGCGCGCGCACGTGACACCGGCGGCACGTGACGCGGCGCGGGAGGCCGCGCTTTACGGCGCCGCGCGACAGCTGCCGGTGCCGCCCCCCCTCAGGCCGCCATGGCGTCGGGCAGCGGGGTGGGTACCCCCGGGGGCCGGGGCTGCCGCGGCCCCCGCCGCTCCGCCCGCGCTCGCCGGGGCTCGGCGAGGGTCGCGGGGGCTGCGCCGAGGAGGGCGGGCGGGAGGGTGGCGGGGAAGGGCCGCGCCGCGCTGGGGGCCCGCGGCCGGGCCGCGGCGTGAGGGGCCCCGTCGGGGATGAGCGGTGCGGTGGGACCGAGCACATCCCCGCGCTCTGTGCCTCTGTGCGTGGCGGCGGCGGGAGGTTTGGGGCGCTGTGACAGGCCCTGATGTGTTGGGGGCTGGGAGGGCCCCGCCGCGGTCGCGCCCGTCGGGGAGGGAGGCGGCGGAGTCGCCGTCCCGGGAGGTGCTTAAGGAAAGGCCGGACGTGGCTCTCGGTGCTCTGGGCTGGGCGACGAGGTGGTGTCGGGTCACACGGTGCACTCGGCGGTCTCAGAGGGGTTTTCCCAGCTCAGTGATTATCTGTGATCCTCCCCCCCTGTCCCAGCCTGAGGGGATTGAACCGCCCCAACCCCCCGGGGGTCCCGCCCCACCCCAGGCACCTCCTGGGATGGGCAGTGGCTCGTGCAGGCGTCTCCCTCCTCCCTTTCCCGGTGCCCCCACTCCCTGTGGCTTCTCGGCCGCCCTGGCTGTTTCCCGGCTGGATTTCACACTGTCCTGCTGGAGAAGCAGCTCCACAACTCCCTGACAGGAGGGTGGAGCCAGTCGGGCTCTGCTCCCGGGGAACAAGGGCCAGGATGAGACGAAAACGGCTCAAGCTGTGCCAGGGGAGGGTCAGGCTGGACATCAGGAGGAATTTATTCCTGGAAAGGGTGTTCAGCCGTTGGAAGGGGATGCCCAGGGAGGTGGAGGAGTCCCCACCCCTAGAGGTGTCCAAGGAAGGAGGGGACGTGGCACTCAGTGCTCTGGGCTGGGGGACAAGGTGGGCATCGGGCACAGGGTGGACTCCATGATCTGGGAGGGCTTTTCCAACCTCAATGATTCTGTGATTTTGTGAATACTGAGATGGGGTGGGTGAGGGGTTGCTGTGGGTGTAGTTCTGGCTGGACAGCCAAGATGGTTTGAAGACCTGCAGTGACACCCCAGAGCCGCCAGCAGTGTAGGGGCTGTGTTTTTCTGCCTTTTTTGGCCCATCTTTCCTTCCTTGAAGCCAATTGTTGAGAAGTGAGGAGAGGAGGCCCTGGCACAGGTTTGCCCAGAGAAGCTGTGGCTGCCCCATCCCTGGGAGTGTCCAAGGCCAGGATGGACAGGGCTTGGAGCAACCTGAGCTAGTGGAAGGTGTCCCTGCCCATGGCAGGGGGTTGGAACTGGATGATCTTCAAGGTCCCTTCCAACCCAAACCGTTCTGGGATTCACTCTGTGATTCTACGAGGTGAGCAGTGATGGAGGCGAGCAGCAGGGTGTCTCCCCAGGAGGAAGATGGGGCCTCTGGTTTATTTTCAGCTGCCAGCTGAGAATTCCTGTTGGATTGAGTCAGGCTTGAGACTCCTCTATCATTTAATAGGCTTTGGTGCTGATCATTGATGCCTATCTCAAAAGGGAACAGGAAGCTGTGGGGCACTTCTAGTTATTAATTGTTGTTACTAATTTGGCAAATACTCTCTGAGATAACGATTTTGGGGCTTGCAGCCCCCCTGCCTCCACCAGAGCAATTCAGAAGCGTCCCTTCAGGTGTTGTCCAACCAAGATCTTGTCGAGCAGTTGGGTTTAATTTCTTTCCCCCATGCCTGGACGAGGCAGATTGCTAAAAGAGCTGCAAAAGACTCTTTTCCTTTTATTACAACAGGAGAGAGAGAAGCAGCAAATAAACCTCCCCCCTCTGCAGGAGGATTTGTGATAATGCCTGGCATGCAGGAGAGTCTGGAAAATACCCCCAAACGTTAATTTACACTCTGTGATATTTTCTTTTCTTTTGCTCAGGGTGGTTAATAAAACCTGTTACGACATCCTTAAAGTGCTTAAGAAAGCTCTGGGAATAAATGAGAATTTTTCTACGCCTCCCCAAGGCATTTTCATCCCTATCAGTAGTTGTTCGTTCCATTTGAAGGATTGCCAGAGGAGAGAACCTTAAATGGCTGTGCTGCTGCTGTAGCTCCAAATGGGATTTGTGTCCTTTGGATTGTGATTGGATTCTTGATTTGGCTGAACGGAGAAGGCGGGGGGAGCGTGGGGGGTCCTTCTCTCCCGGAGGTGTTTTTAAACACATCTGTCTTTTTTTTTTAATGGGAAAGCGAGAGGCTCTCCCTGCCGTGCTGAGGGAAATGCAGCTCTGTCCAAATGGGAGTTATCTGCTCGGGGAAGTAGGGAAGTGGCTGAGTTAAACCATGACTGATCCCAGGTGCAGGGACCTGAGGTGCAGGTGGGGCAGACACTGGGAAGAGCCTGAGCTGGTTTGGTCAGGTGTGGGTGGAACGGAGATTCTTGTGCAGTCATTTCTGCCCTCAGAGTTGGGGAGTGGGTGAAAATCCACCCCAAAAAATAGGCTTTGTGTTCATCAGTGCCTTCACTTCAATTCAGCCTCTCTTCACACATGTGCTGTGTCCAGTTCTGCGACCTCAGAACAGAAATGGACCTGTTGGGGCGAGGCCAGAGGATGCCATGGAGCTGCTCCAAGGGCTGGAGCCCCTCTGCTCTGGAGCCAGGCTGGGAGAGCTGGGGGGGGTCACCTGGAGGAGAGAAGGCTCCGGGGAAACCTGAGAGCCCCTTCCAGGGCCTAAAGGAGCTCCAGGAGAGCTGGAGAGGGACTGGGGACAAGGGATGGAGGGACAGGACAAAGGGGATGGCTTCCCACTGCCAGAGAACAGGGTTAGATGGGATCCTGGGAAGGAGTTCTTCCCTGTGAGGGTGGGGAGGCCCTGGCACAGGTTGCCCAGAGAAGCTGTGGCTGCCCCATCCCTGGAAGTGTCCAAGACCAGGTTGGACAGGGCTTGGAGCAACCTGGGCTAGTGGAAGGTGTCACTGCCCATGGCAGGGGTGTGGAATGAGATGATGTTTAAGGTCCCTTCCAACCCAAACCATTCCATGATTCCATGAACTTACCCAGTCACTGCCAGAGAGAGCTCTGTGGAGCCTCTGAAGGCCCAGTGCCTCAGAGGTGTTTCTTTGGGAAGCTGCAGGAGCTTTCTGTGCATTCTGTACAGGTGCTTCCCTGGTACCTCCCAGCCCTGCCTTGACAGACAGGGTTTGCACTTGGAAATCCCACACTGATGCCTCTGATTTCACAGCAAAGACAGCATTTTGATGCCTGTAACAGCCTTCCCTGCTCCTGCATTTTAATCAAACTCTCTCTGGCTCAGACTGTGTTTCACAGCTTCCTCACCTGTTATTTGCAACTTGGGTTCAATTGACTTTTGGAAGGAGCAGGTGTAATCCGTGCTGTGTCTGTCAGGGGGCACTTCCCAGGTCAAAGATCCAGCACTTTCAATCCCGTTTGGGTCTAGTTTTCAAGGCCAAAGCCTGGATGATCGTCTCAGGAGCTATTGAGATAAACTCATTTCTTCTCTCAGTGCTCTGAAATCCTTCTGTAAGTACCCAGAGCCACACTGAGAGCGATTCTCTTAAGCCACATCCATAATTCCTAGATAGGAAAACAAAGGACATGGGGATATAACGTAATGCCCCTAATTTACTGCTGTGGCCTCACAGGCCGAGTGATTCCACCTCTTTCCCCCCTCAGAGGTGATCAGACTGTGTGATAAATGTTGATGCACTCTGTTTCCCTCCCAGACCAAGAACTTGGACTTCCGCAGGAAGTGGGACAAGGATGAATATGAGAAGCTGGCGGAGAAGCGGCTCACGGAGGAGAGAGAGAAGAAAGATGGTGAGTGGTGTGCTGGCCCCAGGCAGGCTGTGCTGTGCTGGCAGCAAGTCTCCCAAATCCCTGGAGTTTGGGAGGGAGAGAGCAGCTAGAAGGCAAATCCCAGAGGGGAAAAACTGGCTTGCTCCAATCCTTTTTCCTGTTTTTGTTACTGAATGTATTTTTTTGGACAAAAGGAATCAGTGAGAACCTTTGGCTGCCTGTTCCTTGGGGAGAGAGGGGAACAGTCAGCCCCTGAAACAAGGAGCTCTCAGAATATGACCCGAGTCACAGCTGGAGATACCTCAGAGATGTACCTGGTTCTAGTAGGAAGAAATCATATCCTTTACTCATTTGAAAGCAAAGGTGCATTTTCTGGATGGATCAGGTGGTCCCAGGTTCCCAGCAGGCCCTTCTTCACCAAGGATTTTCACATGAAATCCACCATGCCAGGCTTGACCTTTTGTTTATGTTTTAGGCAAACCAGCACAGCCCGTCAAAAGGGAACTTCTGCGGCACCGAGACTACAAAGTGGACCTGGAATCCAAGCTGGGGAAAACCATCGTCATCACCAAAACTACCCCTCAGTCGGAGATGGGGGGGTAGGTCATGGTCTCGTTGGAATCCCAGAATTGTGCTGGGGGGCTGTGACATGGCAGGGACTCCTCACAGGGCACCAGGAGCTGGTTTCCTGCAGTGTTTGGAGCCTGGGGCAGTGGGACTGCCCTGGCTTAACACCTAAATTGTGCCTCCTGGGGTAACATATGGGAGAGACCCAGCAGGCTGAGCCCCTTGGAACATTATTCCTTGATATCAGTGTTGCCCAACTGTAGGAACAACAAGGAGGCAAATCTTTGCCATCTCCTGGGGTTTCCTTAGCCAGGCCTGCTTGCACTGAGACCGGGGCTGCTGCTGATCTGAGATTCTGGTTTGGATATCTGTGCACAGGGAGTGGGAGAAACATCCAGATACCTGTCCTTAGGAAGGGTGTTTGGCCACTGCTTGTGTGGATCATGTTCCACCAGAGGCTGAAGGGGTTCTGAGCTCACCCTAAAAGACTCTGTTGAGTTTGTGTCACCTCAGGAGTGAGCCTGTTACTGTCTCCCCAGCCAGCAGTGCCAGGGAGATGTGCAGCCCTGAACAGCATCCAGGGATGGAAGTGCAGCCCCTGGCTGGGCTCTTGCAGCACCTCTTAAGATGGGCAGAAGGCACATGAGGGAGTTGCTCTGTGAGCTGATGGGGATGGCAGGACTCACCTTGCAGCCAGGTGAGAGGCTGTGGGACGTAAAGGAGCTGGGGAGGACAGGTCTCAGAGTCCATCCCACCCAGCTGGGTGTGACTGGAAGGGGAAGATACTGTGGCTGGCATTGCAGAGCAGCTCAGAATTTGGTTTCTATCGTGTCAGAGGGGTGATGGTGTAAGAGCAGATACCTCTGGGGCATCTGTGTCCATCTGCAGTGTGCCCTTGCTCATTGCTCTTCACTGGGATCCTCTTGTCCTGGAAAAAGGTCCCATATCCCAGTTGACATGCAGATTGTCTCAAATAGCTGTTTAGTGGGATGGGGTTTGTCTCATGCTTAGGGGTTAATCTTTTCTCTCTCTCCTGCCAGGTACTACTGTAATGTATGTGACTGTGTGGTGAAGGATTCCATTAACTTCTTGGATCACATCAATGGCAAAAAACGTAAGGATCATTTATTTCCCTGCCTCTGGTTGGTTGAGTTGGAGGGCTGTTTCCTTCCTGCATCACCTGCTTTGGAGATCAGGATATAGCGACTGTTTGCTCCTGAGAGCTGTGGAGGTGCTGCCTTTATCTCCTGGCACCTTCCAGCGTGCTGGACCATTCTCATGGAATAAGCCCAGCAGAAATAGTGGTGGTGTACTCTGGTTAGGTGTATCTTCCCGGGCTCAGCAAATCCCTGTGTCTCCTGAAAATCTGGAGACAGGCTTTTCACAGCACTGAAACTGTAACGAAATCTTTAGAGAAGTCTGTCACTGGCCCATTTTTGGGTTGGAAACTCCTCTTTATAGAAGTCAAGTGTGAAGCTCAAAACTGGCTGGTCCCTGAGCTCCAGATCAGAGCTTGTGAGGATGGAAGCAGAGGATGAGCAGAGGCAGGAGTGGGGCAGTTTGACTCTGGAGCTGTCTCCAGCAGTGTGGTGGTGGTGTCCCGTACCTCACTCTGGTTCTTGTCTCTGCTACTGTGCTGATGGTGTTAAGCCAAGATAAAGACAAGAGGGAATAATTCCCACTTTGTCAGTCTGTTCCCTTAGTGTGTTTAACCTGAACAAGAGGCCTGTACCCTCAAACTGACTGTGATCATTGCTTTTCCTTGGCATGTTCAGAGAGTGGGGGAATGTGGAGAAATTAAAGGAGCCCCAGGATACATTGACACACTTCCCATGTTGTTCCTTCCCTTGGAGGTGTTTCTGGCTCCTCGTGGAAGTCAGCACGTGGCCCCTTTGCGAAAAAGCAGGGAGGTGTGTGCTTGCTCCAGACCTGCACACGGGGCAGTTTGAGAACTGGGGGTTCAGAAGAGCCCTGAGGGCTCAGAAAAGGAAACCCATTGTGTTAAAACCCTGTGCTTTTATGTGGATTGGGGGAGGGTGTTGACGTGCCTTGTTTGACATGTGAAATTGGCAAGAAATCCATATGAGAGAGCCTGGAATCCCAAATCCTGGCATGGCTTTGTGGATGGGCATGAGATGCAGGGTTGAGCTGGGGCTGCAGAGTGGCTGATGCACCGTACCTCGGTATGAGAACGTTGGGAGCTTTTGATCCAAGGCCATAAATCTGGCTCAACCCTGCTTGTTCTTGGCAGCCCTCTAACTGTTCCTGATGTGTGGTTTGAGCTTCCAAGTGCTGCTGCATCCCTGGGACAGACCCATGCATGGCTGCTGGAGTCAACCGGCTGTTTGGATCTACCCAGGAATGCGGGTTGGAGACATTGCTGGGAATGGCCCCTCCAACCTAGGCTTGCCCATGAGTGAGAAACTGGGAATCTGCCCTAAAGAGACACTAAATTTGCAGCCTGGCTTAATAATTCCTGTCCTTGCTTTAGTGAGGAATGTCCTTTGTAATCAGGATCTCTGAGTGCCACTCATGTCTCGTTTAGCATCACCCACTGCCAAGAGATGCCAGTCTGTCAATTCTATTATGGCTCCTTTTTCAACACTCCAACCCTTTTTTATTCCAGTGGTCCAAGATTAAATTTCCTGAAGCACTCAGAGCACCAGCATGACAGGGAACATCCAAACAGGGAGCCTTAAAAGAACAGTTAGTGCTTGTCTTGTTACAAGTAATGTTTGGCTTGTTGTGGTCACTGCTGGTTTGAGTGTTGGTGTCCCCCTAAAGCCCACGCCCTCTGACCTAAGAAATCCTTGTGCACGGGTGTAGCCCAGGCCTGGAAGCTGCTTTGAGGGGACGGATGGCAGGCAGGAAAACGCTGCTGTGCTGTTTCAGCTGGGATCAGGGATGGGGACTGTGCAGAGCACTGAGGGCTGCAGGTGTTGCTGAACGTGGCTGATTCCCCTCCTGTTCTCTAGACCAGAGAAATCTGGGCATGTCCATGCGGGTGGAGCGTTCCACACTGGACCAGGTGAAGAAACGCTTTGAGGTGAACAAGAAGAAGATGGAGGAGAAGCAGAAGGACTATGACTTTGAGGAGAGGATGAAGGAACTCCGGGAGGAGGTGAGTCTGGGGCGATGCCTGAGGAAACAAAGCTCCCCAGAAACACGTTTTGGGAGGAAATCAACCCTGCTTCCTAATCTTGTTCTTGGTATCGCTCTTGTCTACTGCTATGAGTGGGTTTTGGTTTTTTATTATTTGCTCTTTTAAAGGTTTTTGCTGCTGTCTCTGGAAAAATTCTTTTCCCCTCTTTCTGTGGGAGGATAACTTTTAGTGGTTTGGGTTTCCACTGAATGCGGCACGAGCCCATTTTTTGTGTCCCATTAGTTGTGTTGGAACTTGTGTGCTCTGAAAGCAGACACGTGTCTCTGTCCCTAACTTCCATGGTTCTTAGGATTGCCAGGATCCTCCTCCACATGGCACTTGCTTCTCTGTGGCCTCCTTGAGTCTCCAAGGGGTTTGTGAGCAGTGTGCTGTGGTGTGAGATGTGTGAGGAGGAGGTGAAAGACAGCAGATTCCTCTCAAACCAGGGCTTAGGTGTCAGTAAACATGAATATCAAGTTGATTTGAAAGCCCAACAAAGTTCTGACAGCTGAGGAGCTGCTATGGATGCTTCTCCTCCATCAGCAGCCATGTAACAACCCAAGATTACAAATCACTGCCCATTTGAGTCTCCCTGCCCAAGCCCTGAGCTTTGCTTCAGCACAGGGGAGCTCTTTGGGGTGCTCATGGAGCAGCCCCATGCTCTGCTCTCGGGCCCATCTGTTTGGGGGGGTAGGAGGGAGGTGCCCCAGCAGCACAGGGAGTGCTGGGGGTTGAAAAGCTGCTGCCAAGTCTACGGATGGCAGCAAGGAAATGGGCAGCAACTCCTGGTGCAGCCTTCTCCAGGGCATGGCACCTCAGGCGGTGCTGGGGATGGCAGGAGCAGTTGGTAAGATGGGAGCTGAAGCCATGCTTGGTGTCACCTGGTACAAGCCTGGCTTTGTTCCAGGGCTCGTGATCCTCACGGAGCAAAACACTTTGATTAGAGCTGCGCAAACTCTTTGATGCCAAACCCCCCTCCAAAGCTGCTCAGAGCTTCAGTTTCTGTTCCAGTGAGCAGCTGTCACTCTGCCAGGCCGGGAGCCAACAGGCATCACAGTCACTGGCACGGGGCGTTGGATGAGGGAACAGCCTCCTGCTTTCAAACCAGCCTTCATTCCAGGCATAACTTGTGATGTTTGCTCAGAAGAGAGAGTTTCACAATGCCTTTTTTTTTTTTTTTAGCTCCATCTTGTGTGTGTGGCTCTGCTCTTGGGGTGGGAGGTGGGGTGGTCTGGATTCTCTGGGAAATGTCCTCCTTGGAGACCACAGACCAAGATTTCTGCTGCCTGTTTATTTCCTCAGGCACAACTCGGGTGCCGTGGGCAGGACATGGCTTTAGCTGTGCAGTGCCCGGTGTCTCAAGAGCTCCCTCAGCTCAGGAGGTGCAAACTGTGTTGCTGTTGTGTCTCTTGCTGCAGGAGGAGAAGGCCAAAGCCTACAAGAAGGAGAAGCAGAGAGAGAAGAAGAGGCGGGCGGAGGAGGATTTGACCTTTGAAGAAGATGATGAAATGGCAGCTGTGATGGGTTTCTCTGGTTTCGGCTCAACCAAAAAGAATCACTGAGCAGCTCTGGACTCTCCTCTTTCTCTAAACAGTTTGTTTTTACCCAGGGAACTCTGGATAACTCTTCAAAGACTTGATGGAGGACTTGTATGTAAATCTCTCAGTAGAAGTTGGCTGGAGGAGTCGAAAAGTGATTCCATGCTCTACCTGTGCTGCAGAACAAGCTCCGCCTCTCATTAGCTTCCCATCTCCTTCTGTGTCCTAGATCTGGCTGCTCAGCTGCTCTGTGGCCGTGTGCGTGCCGGGAACTGCTCTGCTGGGTGCATTTTTGTGTCAATAAAGTGCAGCCATTCTGCACAGGTGGCCTGGTTCAGGATTAATCTGGTTGTCAACCAGGCCCTAGTTGTCACCCGGGCTGCGCTGGAGGCGCAGGGAGGGATCCAGGTTTTTTTAGGATGGTAACGGAAGGAAATGTGCCACAGTGAGCGGTGTGAGCGGTACAACCTGCACCTTCATGGCTTGTGCTGAGCAGGGCTGGTGGCTGCATGGAGTCTGGGTTGCCGAAACTTTCCTGTGTGTTTTACCTGTAAGGGAGACTTCCCTGCTTTTTCTTTGTGTTTTATCCCATAATTTTCGTTATCTTTTAAGGCAGGGGAGAAATATCTCCCCACGACTGGTCTAGAATAGAGCCAATGAAAGAAAGGTGTGTCCGATTTGCCAGAAATAAATGGATTGTTTTAATGGGTCCTTTGGTGGGAGTTTGATGCCTTATTTATTTTGAGAGCTTCTGCTGCCCACTGAGAGGAGCTGCTGATGTCTCCTGTCAGCACAAAGCTGGGCTGGCCTTCTGGGGACTTCGATGGAGACAAAGGCGTGGCATGTGACCCCCTCTCCTGGCTCAGCTCTCTGCTGCCCTAGATGGGCAGTTGCCATCATTCTTGGCTTCTTTAAGTAATTCTGGAGAAGGGTGTAAGAACTTGGGAGGGGGAAGGGACTTCAGGGTTAGGGACTCGCATTTCCATCATGCAGTCCAAGACAGGCTGGGCTGCTTTCCAGATTTTACCAGTCTTAGTATATTAAGGGCCATTTTTTTCCTGTCTACTGGCTGTCAGTGTCTTTTCACCTCTGCCCTCCCCTAAATCCACTTCATTTCAGCTTTTATTTACCTCAGTCAAACCTTGTGTGACTCATTTCCGTCTGCAGTTAGGATTTATATTTTGCATGGCTGGGTTTTCGTGGCTCTGCCTCACTCTCCTCTCTCTTTTTATGTATATTGATGAAATCCTTGCGCTTGCCCTTCTCCGTGCTCGTATGAAATTTCCAGCCTGGGGAAGGCTGCAGTGTTTAGCCTGCTCTTTCTAATACATCTAGAACAAATCCTGTAATGTTGTGCTGCTGTTTTAATTCCTTAATCTTAGCCTGCTGACAGCTTCATTGCCTCAGGTCTTTCCGCTTCAATTCAGATTATAATCCCCGTTGAAGATGCTATTGAAATGATATATAGCCAGTCAGATACAGCTGTCCTTGGAGGTTTGACCCTTTTAACTTGGCAATCCTTTGACTTCGGCTCTCTGAGCACACGGGCTGGGAGGGCAACTTTCATTCCAGCCACGTTCCCAGCGCTGTGCAGGCTGCAGCACGTGGCTCCGGCTGAATGGGAGAGCGGAGCCGCTCGCGCCTTTGTGCCCTCCGGGGTGCGAAAGGGATGCTGCCGTGGTTTCATACACATTAAAAGTTTAGGATGTTTCAGAGAAGATTTAGCAGCAGCCATTTTATCCCAGCCACCAGCTCTGCAGACACCCAGCCCCTCTCCGCAGCTGGAACTCGGTTGGCACTGCTTGGGAAGGGCTGCCCTGCACCCTCCCTCTTTCCCAGCTTGTGACCTTGGAGTCAGTGGCTGCTGCCTTGGTTTTCCTCATGGAGCATCCCGCTGTTCTGGTCCATCCTGGCACACCCAAGGGGTGAGGTGTGAAACGGGCAGCCCCCAAAAAAACACCTTCCTGGGGAGGTGGTCGGGCTTGCACAGCCTCGTGTCACTGAGCCCTTCCTGTCCCTGCCTGCTGCTCCCGGTCCCCGCGAGACGGGGAGGGAATCCCTCCGCAGTGCAGCGCTTTCATTAACGAGATTCCTCTTGGGTGTAAAGCCTGTCGTCCCCAAACCCATCCCGAGGCCACCTGCACCCTGGGGGCTGAAGGCCCGGCCCCAGGTCCCCGTGCTGGGGCTGCTCACGCCGGGGGAGCGCAGCTCTTTGTCTCGGCGGCTTGCTGGGAGCAGTGGTGTGTGCGGCAGCAGATACAAGCTCTTGCTGGATTCCCAGCAGCGGGAGCTGCCTCTAGCCAAGGATGAAAAGCTGGTTTCATGGGAGGAAATAATATTTAGAGAAGAGACAGATAACACTCCCTGCACCAGCCACGTTAACCCTTTACTCCCACTGCTGTTTGCAGGGGTGGTAACCCTTCAGCTCGTGGCTCCCAGCATTAGAGCTATTGGTTCTGTATGACTCTTCATTACCATGCACCATCTCCATGATGAATTTAAAGTGCTGGATGTGCCCGTGTAGGTCAGGACTTGGGGTTTTAATTGGAAAGAGGGAGGCCCCAGCTCTGCACCTCCCCTTCCTGCTTCCCCTCCCACCCCAGCAAACAGGGCCAGGGTGCTCTGCACCTGCTGGGTCCTCCATTTGCTCTTGTCAGAAGGGGATGCAGCTATTCCACAGGTTAAAACTAGGATCTGGTGGAGTATGGAGGGGCATTCTGCATGATTCCCACATCCAGGCTGGGGTGTCCTGCCTGGTCTTGCTGTGGAAGTGTTTTAAGGTGCCTAGAGCCAGTTTGGTGCTTGTTCCCAGCACCTGGGTAGAGGTACAAGGCTCTGCCTTGGGCATGGGGCAGTTCCTCATGACCTGTGGCTCAGAGGACCTGGGGGAAGAATGAGGGTGTCCTAGCCAGGCTGGGGACCATGCTCAGCCTGAGCTGGCCTCCTGTGGTTCCATCCTGTTAAATATTGATGGCAGTGTTTGGGGATGCCCCCACAGCAGACCCTAGAGAAAACAAACCTGTCTTGCCCTCTCCACTTCCTCTCTCCCAGACTTCTTCCCTGGTCTCACCCTGGAGAGGAGGGCTGAGGCCTCATGGAGTGGCTGAGCACCAACATTCTGCTGTTCTTTCCCCTTCCTTCCTTCCTGGGCAGCCCCCCCACCCTGCCCTCTCCTGCTGGCCCATGTCACCTTCACTCTTTACAGGTCCTCCTTGGGACTGGAGGAGCAGCAGCAGCAGCATTCCCACCATCCCAGTAAAATGGCTGGGATCAGGGACCTGGAGTGATTCTGGAGAAGGAGTCCCAGCCCAGACCCGTGTGTTGCTCTGCCTGGGCCAGCTGAATCATTCCCTGCTTCCATGACTTTATTAGCAAAAGACGTGGCTTTTCAGCACTTTACATCAGTTTTACATCCTGAAAGGTTTAAGAGCTTGGCAGGAGCTCCAGTCCTCCCACTGCTCAGGCCACAGCCGTTAGCTACTGCTGCCCCAGTTAGGCAGCCGTTCCTGCCATCGTTAAAGCTAAACAACATCCATAGGCAATATCCCTGGAAACCCTCCTGCCTTGCTTTGACCTGGTACGGCAGTGCCAGGAGGCTGCGCCACCAAATCCCTGTTCTGCTGAGGTTTCTGGGTCTTTCACGCTCCATCAGTTGACCTGCTGCTGTGGCACCATCCCACACAACCCCAGAGCCAGCATTCCTGCCCCTCCCAGTCTATGGACACCCTGAGAGCCGCCTGGATCAGTCAAACCTTGGTCCAACCTGTAACCTACCCTGCTTTCTTCAAGCAGGTGGACAAGGTGTCCCCAGAGGAGAGCCCCACCTGTGGAGGTGTAAAGGTTCAGCCCCTGGTTAGTGCTGGGGTTGCTGCAGAAGGGAGCAGGAATCACAGAATCCTGGAATGGTTTGGGTTGGAAGGGGCCTCAAAGCTCATCTCATTCCAACCCCTGCCAGGGACACCTTCCACTATCCCAGGTTGCTCCAAGCCCCGTCCAACCTGGCCTTGAACACTTCCAGGGATGGGGCAGCCACAGCTTCTCTGGGGCACTGAGGGATGGGAGTCAGGGTGGAGATTTGTAGAGAGGAAATCCCTGGGCTGGGAGGGTTTTTTTCCCACCTGCAGCTTGGATGGGAAACTTGAACACACGTTTTCAAACAGGGGACACCCACAGTGACCTGGAGACCTCAGCAAGCTGGACCACTCTCCACACAATTTTTGGGGCTGAGCTGGCTCAGACCACAGGTGGGATCAAAGTGGAACAAACGGGGCTCTTGAGCATTCCAAACTGGAAGGAAGGAGGCAGCCCTGGTGCCTCCCCCATCCCAGTCGGATCTGCTGCCGCAGCCAGGTTGGAGGCTTGCTGGAAGGATGGATGATTTCTGGGCTCAATGTGGGGCTCCCGAGCACAGGGGAGGCTTTGCTTTGTCGCAAGCGAAGTACAAAACCATCATCAGCCAGAGAACAAACAGCTCCGGGCTGGAGAGGGAGCAGGGAGAGGGAGGTGGGGAGGAGCAGGGGGAGCGCGGGGACAGGGCGTCCGCGGGAGGTTTTTCGGGGACTTGTGATCTCAGAGCAAATTTCTGCTGTTGGCTGCGCACCAGTGGCACCATTTCACCAACTCATGCGTGCCTCCCCACCGCCAGCTCCGCGGCGCTGAGCGCCCCGGGGGGGTCAGGGCCGCTCTGCGGAGGGCTGCGGGAATATGGTCCCTGCTCGGAGAGCGTGTGATCTGCCAGGCAGCCAGGGAGCCCCGGGGACACTGCCATGCCTTTGTTCCTCCTTCTCTTTCTTTTCCACCTTCAGATTTTTTTTTCCCTCTGCTTCCAGCTGCGTATGCAGCACTCCCCCCCCCCCTTCTTTCCACCCACAGTTCCTGTCTTGGTTTTCCTTCCCCTCTACAAATATGTGTTCCTTAGGCTCCCTCTCCTCCCTGCCCAGCTTCCCCCATCAGCGTTGCCTTCTCAAACTTCTCTTTTTTCCCTTCTCCCTGTTTTCCCACAGGCCCTCCTCATCCCTTCCCCTTCCTGCTTCTCTCCCCTTCCCTCCAGCCTCTCGGGCTCCCGTTCACTCACTCGTCTCCCCTTCTCTGACAGTTTGGGGGAAATCTGTCTGTGTCAACACACAAATTCCATTATTTATTGGCTGAGCTGAGCGGGGTCCTACACTCGTCTGTAATTGTCTCCAGATCAAAGCGGCTGCTGATGGCAGCTTTGCCTTCTCGCGGCAGAACACCACCCCCAGCTTCCAGCTCCTCATCCTCCCGGGGGAGTCGGGTGCGTGCGCGTCGACACCCTCGATGAGTGATCTCCCAGACAGAGAGGAAAGAAGTAGGGCTGGTGGGGGAGAAAAGGGAGACCTGGAGGATCTGCAAAGCTCCCCGGAGAAGATGGGGATGTTGGGGAGTGTCCCGGGGGGACACACAGTCCCTGATAGGGGCCAGGAGAGAGTGGGAAGGTAGAGGTGGTCCATATCCTGGGAATGGGGACAGAGAACTGAAGTGAAAGGAGGGGCAGGGAAGCAGGAAACATTCCCATATTTGTCCAGGACTGGAAGAATTAGAATTTTTACTCCAGAGATCCAGGATGTCTCCATAGAATCAGATGGCTAAAACCTAGAAATAGGGACAAAGGAAATGTACCTTTTCCTGCCTTTCCCTTTTGAAACCACCAACTTATCCCAGGGATATGGGACTCCAACACAGACTGCAGGCACTGGGATGTTGTTTGGGTGTTGATGCAAGATGTGTGGTGGAGAGGACAAGGAAACATCCAATCCAACTTCTGCCCCTTGGCCTCCTCGATGGGGTCCCAGCTCCAACTTTTCCAGCTGCTCTTTAGCACTTTGCCCTAGGAGAGGGAGGAGAGGAGAGGTTTTGGGGTCTAAACACAGGATCATGAACTCTGCCAAGGAAAGCTGTAAGGGTTATGTTTGGGCTGTGTTAGGGTTGTATCCCTTTACTCCGGGAGCTGGCAAGGTACTCCCTTGTGGCTAAAGGACCTCCTTCTCAGGAAAGAGCAGGTCAAATTTCTTGTAGAATCACCCACACAGAAGGGAGAGCTGCAGTGATTTCTCTGCTGAAGGAGGTGAGGTCAATTAGAACCCCTCTCAATGGGGCCAGTCTTCCCATTTTATCAAGATACACTGGGGAACTTGGGAATCTTTTGTTCCACACAGATCTGCAGACACCAAAAGACATGGCCACCATCACCAGTCCTGGCAGCTCAGTTCTCTCTCACTGCCCAGTACCTGGAGATGTCAGGCTCAAGCCATGGCTCTAAATTCATGACTGTTCTGTTGTCCCCAGCCTTCCTCCTTGTGGCACCTTCCTGGCTTTGCCATCAAACCTT